TTAGTGCTTATTGTGTCTGTTGGACTCTTCGGCGCCCTTAGGCAGGTTAAGTGAAATAAATGCATTTTCGACACAATTATTTCCAATTTACAATGTACTTACTAAGATCTCAGCCAAGTCGAGACATAGACATATTAAACAATACAGAATTTCTGTGATCAGTAGACTAAATGTAGATTCTATACAATCTGCTAAGATGATTTAGGTAGGCCTTGGAGAACCATTGACTCTTTCAAGTCTCCTCATTGGAAAGCAGCCTTAATATTTTATGAGCCCTGTAAATTTCCTTACAGCAGAATGTTTCTCTGTCTCTGTATATCTCTGTAGCAATGTCAGTAAATATTTACGGCAGTATAATAGAAAAAGTAAAAGAAAAAAAAACGGTCTAAAAGGTTTCAAATATGAAAATTGAGAATAATTTTATTAACCCATAATGTTTTGCATAATTAATGAGTTCTCTAAGAAAGGGTGAGCTCATCAAGGTTTAGGGAAACTGGAAAATGTGTCTCACAGTGCAAAACACTTTTCTTGGACCCTGAGAAGCATAACCAGCTATTAATATTAAGATATCATATCCAACTGCTTTTGTATCACAAAGGCAGAAACTCCCTTATTTGATAAACACTGTACAGATTCCTTATTGATCCTAGAGGCTCAAGACAACACAGAAATAATGTACTCTCAGAGGGTAGAAATAAAAGATCTGCAAGGTTTGTTAAACTAGAGTTTAATAATACCAAGCACTCCTAAAACCAAACACTGTCCTCTATACAGAGCAATGTTTCTTCATATATGGCTCCTTCACAAACAGCTGGAATGGAGAACAACCCAGAGGAGAGAAGCCCAGAAACTACAGAGCAAAGGCCAACTTCCCAATGATGCTTCCATCTGTGTTATCCCAGCCTCACAGTAACCTCTAGTGATAAGGAGAAATAGTTCTCTAATGTAGTACCAGTGGCCCTGCAAAGTTTCACAGCTGACACTTGTTGGTTGTTGTTGTTGTTCCTTTTTAATCCAAGGGATGCTCTAAAAATACTGCAGATAAGCTGACTCAGGAGAGCTTCACACTGTGGCACATGACTATTTCCAACGCTGCCATTCTTGCCAAGGGCTTGCTTATTACTGCAGAGCAGAGGTAAAGGATAACAAGACCTTTGAAGCCTGGAATATCCAGATAAAAGCCAGCTCTACTACTTTGGGCTTGTATGTTCCTGGGTCAGTGACTTCCATTTGTACACTCATTAGTAGAATGGAATTGATTGCAATATATTCCATCCCACAGACTGTATCCTACCTCAGGTAACCTCTATGATTATTCTTCACATAAAGACATAAGCATTGTGAAAATAAGATTTTTGTTTATTTACTATCTAGGGAACTTTCTGGCAGCAGGAAACAATTATCGAATGAGTGAATAGGAAAAGATTGAATTAAGAACAAATCTTACTAAGAATTATTTCAATGTCGACTTACAAAACTCAGAAAAGGTATGGAATTGATAATAACAGTGTTATAATGTCCAGTCATCCAAGAGCCAGGAAGCACACGGTGTGTGTGTGTGGGGGGGGGGGATGTCTGTGTGTGTTCTGAAATGCTCATTCTCCTCTCCAAACCTGTTTCATGATGTAAATTCAGATTCACCTAAAAGTTCCAAACATCCATGTAGCACTTCCAACCTGTACAATCTCACATCTGTGCTTCTATATAAAATTAGCAAAGTCTGATAAATAATTGTTACTGCAGAAACTTTAATTTATATACCTTGGAGTATTTAAAAAAAAAATCTACAAGTTGTTTATTGTAACCCATATCCTATAAGTATAGTAAAACCGGCATTTGCAATTACTTCTTTTTTTTTTTTTTTCGAGACAGAGTTTCTCTGTGTATCTCTGGCTGTCCTGTAACTCACTCTGTAGACCAGGCTAGCCTCGAACTCAGAAATCTGCCTGCCTCTGCCTCCCAAGTGCTGGAATTAAAGGTGTGCGCCACCACTACCCGGGTGCAATTACTTCTGATGCATTAAACTCATGGACTCATTTTCTTCTTTAAAATTATATTTTGTATTATTTCATAACTAGAGAAATCTGAGTTTTCTTTTGTTAAGCTGATATCAACCTATGAGAAGCAGGACAGGGTGACACAGTGCAGACATGTATAGTGAGGTCCAAAGAGGTAGAAATGTGGCATTGATTATGTTAGGTCAAAGGTCAAGAGCTAGAAACCTTAACCTGAAGGACCTCTTCGGGTGAATTCATTACTTGCTTGATTGAAAAGTTCTCAGGGACTCTTCCAGCTGCAGTGAACTCATACATTTTTGTGAGGATTAAAAGACTGAAATTCAGGCCACATTACCCAGCATTAAATGTAGTCACTTTTTTTTCCCCAAAGAATTTTTTCATTTGTATAAACATTAGTCTCTGAAGACTGACTTGTACAGATGAGCCAATTTAAGTTTCCATTCACTTCTGCCAATTCCTACTGCAAAACTTAGAGATTTAGCTACAATTGGAAGACCTCCCAACATGTAGCTCTTAAGTTCAGAGAACTGTTGTCTCAGGCGCTCTTCTGTTTCTTCAAAGTTCCCATTAAGTTGTCACGTATTCTCCAATGTCCTTAACCCTATTCCAACCACGACCATCACTACCATGAATTCATCAACTCTCCTAGATCTACTGAATAATACTGACCTCCTGGGGATATCTTACAATTTAAGCCATGTATCCTATATCTTTTTACTCTTTTTTGATACTGTAACATGTATGCTTTAGCCCCCTTTACTCTGGGAGGTGACTGTGCTACCAGCTCTCACCTGATTTCCCTTGAATCCTCCAACAAAAGACACACACACTGTTTGTTCCTTTTCAATTTGCCTTAGGACACAATTGCTAACTGTTACTATCTCCCAGTTTGGAAAAGCGTGCCCTTAATAATATTTGTATTTCCACTCCTCCCACATGCCCTAAACTTCAGTGGCTAGTCCCACCTAGCCCCTGTCAAACATCACTGACCACCTACCTGCCTGTAGTACTGGCCACAGGCCCCAGTTCCTTTCTAGACCTCACATGGCTGCTGGCTTCTCCTGCCTCTAAAGCATGGCAAAAATCTCCTTCTTTCCTTCCTTCCATCTGCGTTTTCTTCATGGGAAAGTCCTGACTCTACCTTCCGCCCAGCACTTGGCCCCAGCTTTTTTTACAGACAGATCAAGAACCAATTGGGGAAGAGGACCTTAGCATCATAACTGTCCCCTACATGATACTTTAAAGATATTTTTTTAAATTAATGTCCTTCCAGTGTTTCTCTGGATACACTGTACAGCAAATATGTGAATGCATATTTCATCTAATACACTGGTCAGGAGACACCAACAGTTTTGCTTTTTAAATTCCAGTTTTGGAATTATCACTTATCACTTATCACTCATGAAGCTTTAAACAAGCTACAGTTAGAGAGCTCTGTGTTCTTAACTGAAATGAACAAGATATTTATGACTGATCCTACTTTCCCTGATAATAGTGAAGTTTAAAAATACACCCCAAAAGTAACAAAATGAGCATGTTTAAACATTTGTAAAGGCAAGACAAAAGTAGCAAAGACATCATCTGACGTCATCCTGAAGGTATTTATGTAACAAAGTTGTTTAACACTTTTTCTATGCTTTCAGAAAACTGACTCTATGTTTCAAATTATTAATTGTGCTGTTTTTTTATTTCAAAGACTGGTAGTGGTGCACACCCAAGTCATAGCCCTCTAGAGGCAAATGTAGGCAGTAAGACATCAACAGTGCTTTTGGAAATTATGATTATGATGACATTTTTAATTATTAATCATATCTTCTTGAAATGACTTATTACAATATACACTGTTCATTTAATCATTGAATATCTCTTCTGTGTGATAACACTATAGCAGTATATCTGTGTAGTTTTAAAAGTTATCTATACAAATCATAGAATAAATAAAAATCTGGACATCTAAGTCTCCTTCCCAGGGTAGTATGTCTAAGATGTTTGAGGTTTGAATGATAAACACACATATAGAAATTTATGACATCTGAGCAACACTCAATTCTAGGAAAGGGTCACCAAACTTTTTGCCTCCCCACACCTCTCAGTCTCAATAGCAGCACCAATGCAAGCTAAAGCACTCGATTTGCTGCTCCGTTTATAGTGTCAGGAAAGTGTTAAGAAACAACAAGGCTAATTTAACCAAATCCACATTTGGCTAAACATCTCCAGACTACCATAGCTTTCTCAGAAAGAAGCCAACTTCCTTAATTCTGTTCCAAGAATAAGCATCGGCTTTCTGCCTATTAACAAAACTAAACAGTTTATTTAAAAAGTTGAATTCTAATCAAATGCAAAGCTGCCAGGAAGTTGTAACCAAATGATGGTACATTTTAAATAGAAAATATTGACATTTAGATTCAAATACAAGAATGGAAGATATTAAACTTGATTATTACCTATGCTTGAAGACACCTGATTTAAGCTAAAATATATATTCCAAAAATAGCAAAAAAACAAACTACCATTTACCACTCAGCAAAGTGGTCAGCATTCTTGGGCTCATTTTCAGTTCCTGGTTCACAAAGTCTCAACGTGAGGTTGGAAGAAAACATAAAAATACATTCAACTGTTAATTAGCTTCAATTTCTTCTTACACTTAGCAGCTGTGGAGCATAACCTATCCTCTTCAGACTACTTAAAAAACCCAGACCCAGGAACCACTACAGACATAAAATTCTCTATTTTCCTCAGGCACTAATAGCTCCCAAAGCTAGAACTTTGCTACTTTGAGCATGGGCTTTTTCTTTTTTTCTTTTTTTTGGCTTTATGAGTGCAAGAAGTTTAAGGCATAATAAACACACGCAAAAAATGAGTCTGATCTCTTTTGAATGAAATCATTTAACAAATGTTCCGAGGTCTGCCATAGCCTCTAATGGCTCAAAGGTAAGAGCAGTCTAGTAACATCAATAAAAACTATATCGCAATAAGGTATTCTTCAAGCTTCTTTCTTACAAAATTATTTATTAAACCCATTTTTTGCATGCTTTTTGACATATGTTACACGAAATGCAGGTAATACAGTATTTTTAATACAGAGTCAATAATCCCTCTTCTTACAAAGCAGAATGGAATACAAACAGGCAATTATGACAAACGACGCTAAGCACTAGTGTATTGGAAGTCCTTCTGGCACATACCTACTATTTTGTACCCACTAATTACCCTCATAAACATTTATACACCAAATTACAGAGAAACAAAATTTAGATTAAAATATTTCCCATAGCAAGTACCTCTCTCCTTTCTCTCTCTCCTCTCTCTCTCTCTCTCTCTCTCTCTCTGTGTGTGTGTGTGTGTGTGTGTGTGTGTGTGTGTGTGTGTGTGAGAGAGAGAGAGTGTATCCAACTTCATTTTAGACCTTGAAAATCAGCTTTAAAATATGTAACTCTTTAAGGGCTGTTCAGGCAAGAAACTCAATAATATTTCTTAGAACAGAGAACAAAAAAGATATATAGCCATCCTTGGCCAGTGTTTCTAGAGCCTAAGAAAAGTGATGCCTTGTGTATTGATTTGAATGAGAAGGCTCCCCCTCTCTCGTAAGTTCATATAATTAAATACTTTGTCTCCACATGGTGGAATTGTCTGGGGTGGATTAGGAAGTGTGTTTTTGTTGGGGGAGGTATTAGAAGAGGTGCTTCTTTAGAGGTGGGCTTTGAGTTTCAGAGGACTACACAATTTCCAGTTAGCTGTCTCTGCCCAGTGCTTATGGATGTAGATATGAGCTCTAAGTCATTCTTTCACTCCTCTATCATGGACTTTAACCCTCTGAAACTATAAGCCAAATCGAATACTTTCTTTGATAAGTGTCCTTAGTCATGGTGTTTTATACACAAGATGAGAAAAGTAGCTGACACTTTGAAGGCTAGTATTACTCATATAAAGTCGTCAGAAAGAGAAGTTCACTTTACTTTCCCAGACCTATGAAGTACTATTTGCATTGGTTATTAAAGATAAAGAGAGAAAAGCAGGTGTCCATCCCAGAAGATAAAGACACTGGACCATTCCTTTACAAGTACAAACCAGATCTACCTACAGAAGACAAGGGGAATTCTTAATGGACACTTTCTCACTAATGAAGTGCCAAATGCATCCTAGATGTTGAAGACTATCAGGATCAGAAGCAGGAGAGAAAAGAATAAACAGAAGATCACCAAATAAGTAAATCTGACATGACATAAAACAGTGATCATAACTCAGACCCAGGAGAAAAGCATAGTGGCTGACATGGACTAGGTACACATGCCTTTTATGTCTTCCAAGTCAGCTGGAAACCAAGTGAGAAGGAAATGACTCTGCTGCTTAGCAGGAAAAAGCTAGAAGATAGCAATCAGGCTGAACAATAGTGCAATTAAAGAAAGTCAATTATACAAGGGATTTCATTGGGATTAATACTGAAGTTTGATTCCCAGTGTGTGGGACTGCTAAGGGGAAAGCCAAGTTAATGTTATCTGCTGAGTGCAAGAACTCTGGCTAAAAGCAGGAAAGTAAGTGGACTCAGTGGTAAGGAAACATAAACTGGAAAGGCGCTCTCCTACGACTTCAGTAACAGCCAATGCAATATACACTCTACCACCCCACTGAACTAATAATATTTACAATACTTCTGTACTGGAATGTACAAAAAAAAAAAAAACTACCCAAATGTGGTTCTAAAATCCATTTACTTTTTTGATAAGACTTTTACTTTTTATCCCCAATGATGTTCTTAGGTTTGAAAGATTAGGATGATCATTTTATAGTCAAAAACTGTATGAGCTTTCAGCATTATGGGAGACTAACCATTGCTAACTGTAAAATGAGGCTAGTTCCATCAACTTTCACATTTATACTATGTCAAGTCCTTAGCAAAAAGCTAGCACCTAAATTTAAAAGCCAAACTGAAGTAACAGAAGAGTTAAAGAGAACAGAAAAGAGAAGAAAAAAAGAATAGAAAACAAAAAGCATTAATCACACCATCTTTCTGGCTGGGGGCACTGCAGAGTCACTGTCTACAAGATACATTCTTTTAGTATATGGCTAAGAAAGCATCTTTTCTCCTTCTTTGTGGCTTCAACAGGACCATCTTCCCTCCAGTAGCTAAAAATCTCTCCATCTCATGACATCTCAAAGCCTTCTAGGTTTTGGAATATCTCAAAGTAATTTTAAAAAGTGAAGGTACCCAGGAAGAGACAAATTAACTGTGAGCAAAATTTTTAGTGTGACAAAACAAACACACACAAAATAGGTCATAAAATAAAAAACCCAAATCCTGTCCAGTTTGGAGAAACTATTTTAACATCACGATATTCAAATAGAAAAAGGAAAAACAAAACAAAACACTTGATGCGTTATAAATTGTTCCCACTAAATGCTGAAGCCCTCTGAGACTTCATCTCTTCCACAATGTTTTTCCTTTATTCTGTACAGTTTCTGGTTGTTCACATTCCACAGTGGTGATTACTGTTTTCCAAGGAATCCTTCAGGCGGGCAGTTGCCTTGGAGGTAGGTCACCAGGACTCCTCTGCATTTTACATGCAAGCAGCTTCCAGAAGGGACTGTAGCTGCCATGGCCTCTGCTAGCTGCTAGAGGTAGATCCAACTGTTTGCCTCTTAAGCCAAAGTCTGTTCTTGGCTGTGGTTTTAAAAGAGCCTCTCAACAGATGATCTATTTAATAGCTACAAAACAAAAACTAAGGTTACAAGAAACAAAGATCATACCACCTTTCAACACTTTATCATAGTAGTCTTTGTTAATTAAATTTTTTTAAAAAAGCAATACCATCACTAATACATTAGGTGTTGGTAGTTTTTTTTTTTTAAGTTATTAAAGACATTCATGTAAAATTGCTATTGAGCTCAACGCTTTTAAAAAAAAAGAGTATTATGCATGCAGGCAACATGCTTGCAAAGCACATGCATCTGAAAGTAACTGCCTCTCTATAAAGCTAATGTGATTTTAAAGTATACTGAAGCAACAGGCTAAATTCTAGCATCTTAGGCCCATACTACGTGTCTTGTACACATTTAAATGTAGTCCTAATGCTACTTGAATATTTGCCTAAGTACTAGGGTATATACCCCAGTTAGGAAACACAGACTAAGGTTTAACTTTTCTACTGGTAGATGTCTCTCCAAATTTAGAAGGAAATGTGGAAGATTTAGGGTAGAATTTCATAAATTGTATTGAGAAGGAAACCAGTGATCCACTTTGGGGAGGTTTCCCACTGAACCTTTCTCCTAAAGTACCATTGTGAAACAAATTAAAAATTCTGTGCAGTTTGAAACTACAGGAAACTAACATATTCTCTACTTACTTAGTTTCCTGAAAAACAAAGAAGACATAGCTCATTTCTGTCAATTATGCTCACTCAGACTGAGCTGATTTTAGAGGATGCCTGACTCTCTAAATTTTCAAAAGATGCAGTGATTGAGCAGCCTAGGAACAGTTCCTTTCTGCTTATATGGATGCTGAAGACCTATTACAAAGCCCAGTACAAAGCCTGAAATGTGGTTACAGAGATGGTGACACTTTTGAGACCTGTTCTCATTTTCCTTTTTTTATCATCTGACTTTCAGGGATTACTAACCAAGAAAAAGAAGAGCAAGAAGAAATAATATTAAAGTTTAAGATTTTACTCGCTTGTCACCCATTATTCCCATCAAATTTTACGTGAGTAGTACTTTCCATATTTATTCTGAAAATATGAAATGAATGAGTCAAAGTGATCCTTCTTTTCGCAGTCAACATTCTATGCTTTTAGTAGAAGCCACATTAAAGAAGATGAATGACAACTTGATGATAAGTGACTAGCATGCCAATTCATTTTGAAAGAACTACAAAAAAGATAGAAAAATGATATCTATCTAAAGATCTATCTAAAGATCTATCTCGAAAAGATAGAAAAAAACCTGACATCAGTCTTGCACCTTTAGGCCATAGGTGTATCTCCTGTACATGTTAATGAGGTAGTAATGCTACTTAGAAGTATCTCTAGGTACCAGGATATATACTATACATGGTTCTCCCTTGAAGAAGTCTTTGGGAAAAAGAGTAAGCAAGCTATGACAGGTTAGTAATTTCACAAATGTGAATTGTATGTTAGCCAACCTTTGCCAGATTGCACTTTTCCTTTTTGGGTTCATGTCTTCTAAAGTTCTATTTATGACACTTGGGATTTGATGGTACAATCATAACACATGAGAATGGAACATTACATAAAACAGCAGAGAAGTTAAAGGTAGCAGAAATGCAAGCTCAAGCAAGAATGCATAGGAAAATAACAATCTATGCATTCTCTCTTTTTCTGAGGAATAAATAGGCACTGATTTGCATACGACAACATGGCAGGAGAAAGCTGGCTTAACAATGAAGATAAAGATATTTCAATTGTGCTCACCCAGTTTGTTCCTCAGATGTGGCAAATCATACATTCCCACAGTTCCCAGCTGCATGAACAACTGACTGATAAAATCAGTCACATCCTATGAAGAGTTTACAGTGGTAAACTGAGTTATAACAAAATTTATCAATAAGATCAATAAGAAAATATAAGTGAGGCATAAATCAAGATGCTTTTGATGCCAACCCTTCACCAAAAGTCTTAAGAAGAAATCTCAAGTTTTAAAACATAAATCTTATGTTTAACATACAGAGTATATATTTCCTAAAAGCAAAAATAATTCTTCTAAAATTGTGTTGTATTAAAAATAATCCCAGAAGGAATTAGCGAAAAAGTTAGTGCATAGTTCTTATACCCTTTATTGTAGAAAACACAATTGACATTTCTGGTTGTGGTGAATAGTTTGAAACTTGCAAATTGCTGGCACACAAGCTATAACCAGACAGAACTAGAAACCAGACATTGGCTTTCCAATATGTTGGCCAAGTTCTAAGTAATAGCTTGTTTTATAAACCCTGTGGTGGTGGTCTCTTTATTATTATTTGTTAGTCTATAATTCAACTAAGACTGGAGAGCTCAAAAAGGAACTCAATAATCAGAAAATTCAGCTTGACTATCATCAAATAAAATGCAAAGCCATACCAAGGGTTGAGTGAGATAATTCAGTGGGCAAAGGTGATTACTGCCAAACCTGAAGACCTGAGTTTAATCCCCAGAACCCACATTGTGGAGGGAAAGAACCATGGATCCCTTCTATAGGTTGTCTTCTGAGTACACAGAAGCTATGGCTCATAAATGCCTCCCCAACCCCCACCACTATCTACAAACTCCCACAAATAACTATAATACAAATATTTAGCTATAATAAGTCTATTTTCCTTTCTATTTTTTCACCCTTTGAATAACTGTTTTCAAGACAAGATGAGGTTCTTTTTTACCCTTCTCTTCTCCACTGCCTCAGAGGAGATAAATTGAGAAAAAGTGAGGGATTGGTAACTTGTTTGTTCTCCCTTGAAGACATTGTTTGAGGCTTATTTTGTTTATATGACTGCCTCTGGACCGTTTGGCCGAGTATGTCTTCCAGTGGAACTTTATATAGCTTTTCATAAAAATTGATGAAGGCACATAAAAGTACAAGGAAAGAGAAACTGACCACTTACCACTGATCACATAAAGTCAGACATGATCGCAGCTCTTTATATTCTACCTGGTTTTGTTGTTGGTGGTGGTTTTTTTTTTTAAAATAAGAGACCAGTTGCTTTTTAATATGCATATGCTTCAAAGAGGTATAAATGTGCCACAGGGACAAGGAGAGCCAAATGATCCCTGTCATTATAATCCAACAGTGTAGGACGTGTATGCAGAGAGTACCTTCATTTATTCTCCACCACCCTAGGTTTTCAAATAATATTTCCAAGAAGTTTCCATTTTGTCATAAACCCACTACTCTCTTCTCTTTTACAGGAGGTTGTAATGGCTTAGGTCTCTGCCTAGATGGGAATGCAGGTCAGAAACTGCCTTAAAGAATTAGAGAAAAGAGAACCTTTAAAAATATATAGTCACTGGTTTTCTGTTCCACTTGAACTACACAAGCTTGAAGGCGTATGGAAATCCACAGATGGACTAGTCCTATTTCAATCTACCATATTTTAAGTAATTAAAGGCCAAGTTTTTTCTTCGGTTTGTTTGTTTGTTTGTTTGTTTGTTTTTACTGTTTAGGAATCTTAAGTTTATGAAACATGTTGATCTTTCAGCTAATGCCTGAATAAGATGTACATAAAGCCAGCAAAGAGACTAACATTAGTCACCCCCAAGCCAAGCCAGGATACAGAGAATGAAGGGGAGGCCATGTCTGCTGTTATGCTGTAGGATACAAAAGAAACACATGATGAGCATTTAACATATGTACCACCTAACAAGAAACTTGGGCAGGATGACAATTAGGAATCTGAGAAAAATACATTTCACAAATGTAATGGGAAGCACATGGTCTTAGATGTGTTAATAAAAAGGCCTGGAAATCCAACTGTTTTCTAGAATAATAAAGGATGGAACTAAAATGGTGGGTGTATACAGTCAAACTTGATTAGACATTTGTAGCTGTGGTAAGTAAATTTAGTTTATACATGACCTTTAAAATTGATGCTACTTATCTATTTTAAGCCAAGTCTGTTGGCCACACACGTAACCCCAGTACTTTAAAGACTGAGACAGGATTTCAAGCTCAACCTTGGCCTGAACCACATGTCAAGACCTTGTCTTAAAAATACAAAAGAAATAAGGGCCCAAGTTTTAAATACCAGTTGAAAAGATACATTCTATGCCATTAGAAAAAAGTCTATGTGCTTTATTCAGTGAAAAGGTTTTAACTTCTCTTGAGTCACATATTCCTTGAAATATGGTTTCCCAAAACTGTAGGAAATACCCTAATGCTTGTGGTAAAATCCAACTAGATGTGGGGCTAACGAAGTCATCCAAAGAACTTGACTCTCCTTTTATGTAAAGTCATTTCACTTTACACTTTTCCATAAAATTTTAAACACTTTCCCCTATTACTGCTACTGTATTTGCTCTTAAGATGCATTATTTATTTGTTTGTTTGTTTGCTTATTTATTTATTTATTTATTACTGCATAAGTACAGAGGAATGTATGTGTGCAGTGCTACATGAGTCAAGGTCAGAGGACAACTTTGTGGATCTCCATCTATATGGCTTTCGTGACTTTCAGGCTCTAACTCAGGTCCCCAGGTCTGCAGCCAGCTTTGCAAACTGCTCATCTGGAACTACCTGATGAATACTAGTACAAGTAGTAGAAACTACTAGTGTTTCTGAAACATTAAAACATGTTTCAGAAACAAAAAAAAAAATCTTATATATACATTGCTTGTTGTAAGTGTTACCTTCATCACCAGCCAAATAAACCACATAGCTTGTTTTTTTCTGCAGTAAGAGAAAACATGGTTTTCTAGAACCTAATCATTCGCGCACATGTGTGTGCGTGTGTGTAGTAAGAATCCTCTTCCTACTTAATGGTAGAATAATCATTTGTCTAATGGCATCTAGAAAGGTGTACAAGACATCTGCCTAATCATTTAGTAGTCATTTACATATACATTGTCTTCCTCTAAGCTTGGAAACACATTTACCTCTCTTTGGCTTTAAAATTAGTTCTTTTGACCTAATGTGATTAATAACCTTCTGCTCTGGCAAAATACTCAACTGATTTGAAAAGAAATGTACTGTGTGCTCCAATTCCTCATTCCGATGTCAGATAGTCCCGCTATCTCTGATGATAAAATACTCTGGGAAATTGCTGTAGCCTTATTTCTGAGTATTATGCCTCTGATAATTAATAGGGAATTTATTTGTTTTCTCACTAGTATTTTACAGTCCAGATAAATGCAAAGTTTTGTTTTTTAAGACTATATAAATTATTCATCTATTTTTATCCCATTCCCAACTTCTTAATAATTTGTTCAACTTATTTCCAAACTGAGTTCAAGTTCATCCATTCCACTCATTCTTTTTATTTAGTTTTTATTTTTTTTATTTTTATATATTTAGCAAATACCAACTAAGTATTTCTTAGTGTATCAGTAAAAAATAGGGGGGAAAAAAACCACAGACAGTTAATTATGGCGCATCTCAGGGTTCACAGTGTAAACTAAGTATCTTTTTTTGCCTATGATTGTCAAGTCTACAAATTTGATCTGAAAGCAAAGAAAGGAATGTGGCTGTACAAGAGGTTTAAAAAACCCTCGCCTTGAACAAAGACAACAACAATGGATGTATTAGAATGGTCTAGGGAAAAGCTATGAGGCTTCAACACTATACAAATAGCTACAAGCAACTAAGGAGTTCTGAGAGGGGAGAAAATCTTTCTCCGAGAAGGGCACACAAATTGGTTATCCAATGCTAAATGGTCAGACCTCAAAACAAACACACACAAGCTGAGCAAGTTATACATATACTTATGAGTGTGTGTGTGTGTGTGTGTGTGTGTGTGTTTGTGTGTATTAAGAAATAAAAGATAGATGCCATGAATTTGAAAAGGAAAAAGGAAGTGTATATAGGCGAGTTTGAGGGAAGAAAAGAGAACGGGTAAATTGTGTATCTCAAAAACATACAACCTAGGCCCATTCCAATACACACAGAGAACTAAATTCAGATTGACTACACCCACCATATCCGTCATGAACCTGGAAGTTGAGATTCAGATACTGTTAGGATGGATTTTAGTACAGTGCTTGGAGTTGATATTAAAAATAATTAATTAGTCACACTTGTCTTTAATCAAACATGCTCCTAACTGATTCTTACTAGCTAGCTAGATACTAGATAGGAATTGAGTCACCCTCTCAATCTCTTTGTTTTGTTTATTTATTTATTTATTTATTTAATATTAAAGAGAGATCTGTATTAAAATATCTCTGGAAAGTTATTTTAAGAAACATGTTTGGCTCAGAATCCTACACTCCTGGTGATAAATCAAGTCATATGAGAAATCATATGAGGTCAGGCTGTCTGTTATCATTTTTAACAGATCTATTTCCCAGTTTCCCAGAAGTGTCTATAAATGATCTATTCATACCAGATGTACCAGTAGACTGAAAAGACTATGAAAAACACTGTATATATATTCTATGTATAATGAGAAACAGCTGCTTCAGATTCCATTTACTTGAACCATTTAATACTAAGCCTATAGGAAGAGTTTCAGCTCCTCCATAAGAACAGACACATGGGAGCCACAGAATCTAGACAGTCCCACCCATTTTAACCCAGAGAGTGCTTGTAGCTTGAAGCACTGTGCTTGAATACATGATCAGACAATGGTTCTTTACTAGTCAGAAAAGTAAAATTCCAGCTGTGTAGGCTAGCTGGTCATTTGCTTAAATCAGCCCAAGGAGCATAATGACTTTTATGAATTCTATTTCCCTCTCTTCTTTAGCCAAATAAATTATTCACATTACCATATGTAATACATTTTAATACTGCAATGAGTCCTTAAGGCCAGTCTCTCTGAACTAGCAGGACATGATTAGAAGAATAGAATGAACTCTAGAAAATGAAATTTATCATCTCCTTATCCTTCCTATAGATTATCTACAAAGCCAATGATTAAGGAAACTTTTAAAAGTATGTAATATATGAAATAAGAATTTTTCATAGCTAGCAAAATAAATAAACACAGAATTTTACATTTTTAAATGAACAAACTTACTCAAAAGTTTGATTTTTAAATGTCAAATTATAATAGTTGACTTGTCTTAGAAAAGCCAGTGTCTATTCAGGTTATGTTCTTGGTCTAAAAGGAACACTTCAGAGGATCCTAATTAGGAGAAATTTTAGACAAGAAATGACTGGTACAGAAACTAACCTTGAAAAACGCAAACCATTTGTAGTCATTCAACACAATCTCGAAGCCTTGGTTGTAAATGAGGGTGAAATGACCAGAATTGCCCAGTTCATCATAGGCAGTGTCCAACTTCTTAAGGTGTATCACTACCTTTTCTTCTGTTGGTTCTAAAGAAAACAAAATATATAACAAATCAAAGTTAACCGAACACGTAAGGAAGTACATCTCCTCAATAATTTCTATTGTAAGGTACTTTCTGACCTTGTAACCTAACTGGGATTCATGATTTGGTTCATGAAAAAAATCAGTCTCTCCTGGACCTAATAGGACAAGCCTTTAATTATAAACTCAGCACTGGGGATATACAGACAGGCAGGTTTCTAGGAGACTAGACCGGACTACATAATACATTCTAGGCTCTCTAGGGATACATAGTGAGACTCTGCCAGGAAACACTTTCTTAAGGGTCTCAATTTTGTTCCCTCTGTAAGGTAATGGAGGAGGGCTCCTGGGGCTAGCCTGTGAAGAACATAGAGGTGTCAGGTAGCACACTGGCAGAGAGATCACAGTACAACCAAACTCTTAAAACACTTAAAGAGTTTTACACATTAGTCTTTCTTTCAGATTAACACCTTAAGTGGAGAGTGTTGGATTTCAACCCCTGAAAAGGGGCTGAAGTGCATATTTTACGTATCAAAGCAGGCCTGATCTTCAGATTCTTCCAGCACCACTTGGTCTGTACCTGGTGTACCAAGCCCAGAACTTTACAGCCTAAGGGCTGGGCTGCCCTTCGGCCAGAGGCTCTTCCCTAGATAATCCAGACATTTTGATCTCTGGTTCCCTCTCCTGACCTCCTCTGTAGGAACTCTCTTTCCCCTCTCCTATGTCTCTCTTCCCAAGGCTGCTTCACTGGCCAGTGAATTTGCCTCCTCTTCCAAGAAGAACAGCTTCCCAATAAACCTGAGATGATTAGATAGATGATAGATAGATAGATAGATAGATAGATAGATAGATAGATAGATAGATAGAGACAGGTCGGTCGATCGATCGATCCCCGATCTGACTTGAATTGGCTCATTTTACTGGTGGAGAAATAACTTATCAGAGACTTCACGTCAAGACAATGCAAACACTTTTTCTCCCTTCTGCCTCATCTCCACGCTCAAATTTAGAAAAGAAACAATTGTAGACACTGCCGGTCACCTGGAATTAATTAAATGAATCTTCGCTGGGGGCGGGGGAGGTGAGATATATGATAGCGTTTATTCTACTCACAAGAAAACTACAGTTCAGAGTCGAGTGTCTCTGTGCAACTGACTGAGAAGGAAGACCAAAAGTGTCACTCTTCTGACATGTACTAGTGTTTTCCTAAGTCCGAGGCACGTGGAATGCCCCAGTGTTCACTCACTACATACTCACTGAGAGCCTTCCATGAGCCAGGCATTGCATTTGGTTCTGTCATGTCCAAAAACTACTGGGTAAAGTGGGACCAAAAAAAGCTTTTGTATGTCTCTTGCAATCCTTAAACAGAGCAGCCTGAAACGTCAAGGGCATTAGTATATAAAACAGTCCTTTCCCACTAACTCTCGGAGGCGGGGGGAGGAGAAGGAAGGGAAGCGAAGCCCCCCCGCCCCCCACTTAGAAAGAAAACAAATTGCTAGGTCCCAGAGTCTGAGTTCAGCACGATTTTTAAAATCGAGAAAGTGTCAGACTTGAGTGAAGGATCAAGAAAGCAGTTCTCCATTCGCTTCTACGAAATCAAAGCAAATAAAACAGTTTAAAAACCAGGAGCAAGTTTCTATAATATAAGAGTTGTGAGATAATCAGGAAAGTAAGTGTAAAGTTAGAAGTTCTCAGCAGTTCAAATTCAACTTATCGGCCCCGTCAGATCCCCCAGGGGACCAGTAGTCAGCTCTTAACTCTCCAGTCACCCACAAACGCCAGCCCCGAGACAAGGACCCAGGGACAGAAAAGGTCGACTAGAGATCCCGGGAAGCGGCTTACCCATCACCGAGCAGTTAATGTCGCTTCGGAAACCTCTAGGGCCCACCTGGAAAACCCAGGTGCCCAGCAAGTCAGGGTAGGTGCAGTTGGCAGGAGTGTCGGAGCGCACGGTGCAGACTCCCAAAAGCACCAGCAGCAGGGGGGCGCGCAAGGAGTGGGTCCAGGGACCCATGGCTGATGGCGACAGGGGAGCAGATGGACAGAAAGCACGAACTGGGACACCACGCGATAGGAGTCAGGCGACCCTAGTGGCTCGCGCCTTAAAATATCTAAGAGTCCGGAAACCCTGGGTCCGGGGGCGGGGTTACAGGGCGGTGAGAACAGAATGAGGTGGGGGAGGAGCGGCGAAGCTGTGAGGACCCGGGCGTGGAGTGACTGAGATGTGGGGAGGGGCAGGGTGTGACTAGGTGAGGCAGCAGAGCTGGGAGAGGTAGAATTACTAGAGAGACCTGAGGAAGTTAGTGATTGTGTAGGGTGGGAACAGGCACCACTAGGAGGAAGGAGGATAATGGCCTTTGGGGACCTCCGCCTTTCACGAGACCCTGAAGCTGTGTTTTGTAATGCTAGTGTGATTAAAATAGAATCTACCCTGTGCCAGGACAGGGTTGACCAGAGGCTTAAGTCCACCGAGGCTAATTCTCTTTCCCTTGTTTTTGGTCCACTTTGCTGCATTTCTGACTCCCGTGGAAAAACTCCACTAGCTAACCTGAGCCACTCGTTGTTTGAGAGTTTCTGTTCCATTTCCCAACTCTACCTTTTTATCTTCAGGGTTTAGTTTGGTTTCCTGTCTGTCTATTTACCAGAAGATTTCAACTGTAGTGTATATTTACAGGCTCGATGAATCAGTTTTGTTTTCCCTCTCTAGAACTTTATAGGATTTAGTTGAATGGGGTGAGGGGGTCACAGGGGGTGATCACATTGTTCAAGCCCTTCTGTTTTCAGAATGAAAGTAAGAAGTAGAGAAAGAGGAAGTGGTTTGCTCAGGATGAGCTGATAGTAGTGGTCTTCTGAGCTCCTGTGTCAGGCTTTCCCCAGGGCGAGCCGTTTGGGAACATGGTCGGACCTTTCCTCCTCTGTTGGCCTTCTTGCCAACATTTGTTAAGTAGCAATCTTTAGGGAAGCCTTCTCCTCCTGTGAGAGCAGTTCCGAGTTCCCTGGCTGTTGTTGGTTGGGATCATGTTCCTTCTGAGCTAATACAGAGATGAACCAGGCAGACTTGATGAGCCTCTTTGCAGTACTAGGTTTATGCATCTTCCCCCCCCCCAACCCCCATCCCGCAGATCACAGATATTTACGTGCAGACTTTTTTTTTTCCACTGAGTACAAGCAGTCTCAGGAACCAATGTGGTTGAAGAACAAACCACTTCTGTCTCTAAATTCTGTTTTAAAAACACTCAGCTTCTAAGCCTGAAGGCACACTCTGATAGGGGTCCTTCTTGATAACTAAGGGTCTAGAGTGTTCTTTCAAATGAAATTAGGCTACAAGAGCTAGCTGGGGAGGAGCTGACACCTTTTAAATCATATAAACCTTTATAGGATTAAGAATTGACATTGTATAATTAAGCTAGCATTTCTTTTAAAGGCCCCATTAGCATTACTTTTCTAAATTTCTACAAAGATTGTCGTTGTTGAAACATTAAACATTTTACTAAATGATCCATCATATCTTAGAGCTAAACACGGGACATGAGAATTTCTTTGATAGACATAATCAAAGTAGAACACTTACTTGCTAAAACGAAATTAAAGCAGCCTTTCTAAAATCAATGACAAATAAAGATTGTGGGTCGCTTGGGATTAATGAAGACACCCTGATATGAGGAAATGAAGATTTAGAGAGTTGAATCACTTGTTAAATGTCATTACCAGTTAGGGAGAATCAGCAAGAAACATGTGCAAGTTGCACGCCCCAAAGTTTAGTATATGTTGAGTGATATGAGATAAAATGAGTTTCTAAGCAAAACCCACTTGTCCTTGGGCTCATTCCAGGGGTAGCACAGCATAGTGTGTAGTTCCAGGGCCGGTTTATGAGAAATGCAAATTCCTGAGTCTTACCTTATACCTCTTCGAAACCAGATACTGTTGAGGTAAGTTCCAGCAGTGTATTGTAACAATCTTTTAGATGATACAAAATCAATTTGAGGTTTAGGGAGCATCTTCAGGATCTCTCTCAGACTCAAGCTTGAAGTCTGGCTGTGGCACAAGCTGTTGTAGATCTGTTACTGTCTTTTGGCTTCTCTTCCTCCTCCTCTTCATCCCCTTCTTCTTCCTCCTCTTCCTTCTCTTCCTCCTCCTCCACCACCATCACCACCACCACCACCCCACCTCCCTGCTTCTTCTTTAATCTATAAAGTGTACATGATTATATGGCTGGTCTAATTAGAAAGCTAAGATGGATCCTGGGATCTTGAAGTGAGCACAACCACACTAGGTGATTTTAAAAAGAAATGGGCTGACTGTGTGTGGCCTCTGTGGTGGTCATGCTAGGGAGACATGTTCAAAATTAGCCTCAGCAAGAAAAAGAGTTAACAGTTTGTTAGGGGTTTATACTGTCCTGCCTGGGTTTAGTACTTTGTTTCTATCCTTATTGCTACATACCTCTTATTGCTATCCTTATTGCTACCACTGCATTTATGTGGTTCCTTCTTATGATATGATTGACTTTTCTTCCACACTTCATGCTTTCCCACCATAGGTCTGTATTAATCTTGTACGTCAAGATTTATCACAAAGCTCAGCCAATATCTTCCCATTCATTTCCTCCACAAAATTGATGAAAGGAAGACAGAAGGAGAGAAACATGAACAGTTACCTAATTTGAACCTACTGTTACTGAAGGCAATCTTTGTAATGCTGCCTGGTCGGTTAATTGTACTGTTGCACTATTTCTCAAACTCTTCTCATAGCTCAGGGTGAGTTTTCTCCCCTCCTTCTTTCTTTGAATAAGATCTTACTATGTAGCCTTGGGTGACTTGAAACTCAAACTCACTGCGTAAACCAGGATGTCCTGCTACACATAGATATCTGTATGCCTCTGCTTCCCAAGATCTAGAATCAAAGGAGTGCTACCATGTTCAGCTTCATGAAAACTCCAAGATAATGCTTATTCTACTATGAATGGAAGGTGTTTTTTTTAAAGAAAAAATAACTATTTATTTAACAGTAATGGCAATAACATGAGATAGAACTGGACATGTCGGGTAGGAACCCCAAGCATCAACTCTGAGAATGTCCTTGGTAGAGGCCAGAAGAGACTTCTGGTTTTTGTGTCTTCATCTTCACAGTGAGCACCTCTGCCTTGAGGCTGCACTTAACTACATGACTACAAAACTACTGGCCGAAACCAACAAAAGGTTCCTGAACACCTAGTTGGGCCAACAGGACAGATCAGTTAATCCCCCTTCTCATGTCTCACTCCTATTTCTGTCATAAGCCCTTTAAACCCCACTAAACTAGAAGTTCAATGGTGCTCTATGTCCTGGGAACCATACATTTCTCCATCTTCTTTTTTTTTTTTCTCCTACCTATAAATCTATAATAAATTTCTCTCTAAAACCTGATCTCATGGTCCATGAATTTCATTCTTCAAATTATTGAAACAAGAGCCTGAAAAACACTAGCTCAGGGCAGCACTGGAGTTTCCAGACACCTAGCCACACCTGCCCCACAACCCCCTACAGCTAAGCCCCACTCAACTGCTGAGAGAAGAAGCTCTGTACTTTTCAAATCCTTGTAGTATCCTCCTGTCAGTAACAATAAAATGAAGGTGCTAGGTGACATATGTTTTTTAAAGTCAGTAGTGTGTTTCTTCACAGTAGGGATGCATCCCGAGACAAGCCCCATCGAGATGTTAGTGAACATCCTGGAGTATATTCATAAAAGACCTCTCAGATATTTCAACCTTCCTAACACTTTGTGTTAGACTTCAGTATGCAGCTTAGAATGGGGGGGGGGGGTGTTACAGAGGAGAAAGAAAAGGTGGGGGAGAGAAAGGGAAAAAGAGGAAGAGGAAAAAAAAAAAAGAGAGAGAGAGAGAGAGAGAGCGCAGAGAGATAGAGGAGTGGAAGACAGCCATGACCACATGAAGAGAGGGGGAAGGGAAGGGAGGAGGGACTAGGAGAAGCTAGAGGCAAGAGAGTAAGAGAGTAAGAGAGAGAGGAGGAGGCAAGCAGCCCCTTTTATAGTGGGCATGCCTACCTGGCTGTTGCCAGGTAACAGTGGGGAGGAGCATATCTGGCTGTTGCCAGATAACCATGGAGGTGACATTTAGACAGAATACTAACACTTTGACCCTTTAAAGTTCCTCACATGATTGATATACTACAGTACACTAACAGTAATCCTCCCCTTTTAATAATTAGCAGAATTGCGTTGGAATACAGTGTGTTGACCACAGTGTCACAGATCTGGAATTCCAGCACCTGAGAGGCTGAGACTAAAGGATCAAGAGGTCATAGCCACTTTGGGTTATAGCTCAGGCTTCATCTTAAAAACCAAAAAAGATAGTTGTTTACTATCACTATTAAATACCATTGCTATGTGGTTCATAATCCTGCTTTTACACGTCTGGCAGCAATGTTTACTTCATATAACCCCCATAAACACATTAATAATGCACTGTGAGACTAGCTTAGCTACAGGAACTTTCTACGAGACATCCTGTATCCTTGTTCACCAGATAGCCGAGATGAGCACACATCGAGTGGTTGTAAGACCACAGCATGAATCTAGGGATGGAAAGTCACAGAAAGCACAATCGGTCATAGAAAGCAAAATCCCTGTTACTTCTGGATTACCAGCTTCATTTTTGACTATGAAGTATGGGAATACTCTAGTTTTATTTAGATAATGTACAAAAAATGATTTTCCTTGAATTTGATGGAATCCAGAGCATATGCCATTTTAAAGAAATATTCTTCATATTTTAATAGATTAGCTTGTATATAATGTAGCCACCTTTTAGGTCTATCTGAAGGTAATCGCCCAGAATTTACTACTTCTGTTGATAGATAAACAGAAGCTTAGAAAAGTAACTGGTTTTTCTGTGGGTTCACTGCTGGCAACTATAAACATAAGAACCCGTTGAAAGCATGAGGTTTTACATTCAAATGTTAGAAGGCAGTGAAGAAAGCGGAGGCTTCTCTAATGGTTAATCCAGTCAAATACAAAAGAAAAGAAACAGGTTTTACAAGTGAGCTGCCCAGACTGAAAGCAGCTGAGCTGTGAATTGCTGAGCTAATCTCTATTATGAATTCACTCCCACTTCACTATCTACGTGTATTGCATC